CTCGCCCGCCTGGGGTGGGACGGGCACGGGATGGACAAGCGGTGCGCAACGGCAGGAGTCACCCCGCCCTCCCTGCACCCCCCAAATGAGCTGTGGCTTTGTCCTGGCTGGGTGAGAGGCAGCAGGGCATGGGGGTGGAGAAGGGTAGGTGTGCCCCTGGATCAGGGCAGGGCAGGTGGCAGAGCGGGGGCCATAGGGAGGCTGCAGCCACCAGAAAATTTGCCGTAGCCCCCTCCACCTGGTGCGCAACGGCAGGAGTCACCCCGCCCTCCCTGCACCCCCCAAATGAGCTGTGGCTTTGTCCTGGCTGGGTGAGAGGCAGCAGGGCATGGGGGTGGAGAAGGGTAGGTGTGCCCCTGGATCAGGGCAGGGCAGGTGGCAGAGCGGGGGCCATAGGGAGGCTGCAGCCACCAGAAAATTTGCCGTAGCCCCCTCCACCTGCCTGGAGCACAGCCCAGTGCAGCCCTGGCCCTGCCTGCCCCACTCCATGCAGATCCGGGGGCACATGCCCCCCCATGCCCTCCCAGACAAGCAGTGGGAACCGCCAGACAAGCCACCAGATGAGCAGTGCACAGTGACAGAAGCTGCCCCCTCCCTCCTTGCACCACCCCCGGCCCCTCCCCACAGCTCAGTCCCATGCCTGTCTGGCCTCCGCTGGGCAGCACTTCCCCCAGCCTCAGTCCCAGCTCAAGTCCCTCTCTCACCAGGTGGGGCATTGATCTGCCGCCCCCCCATGCCCCTTCCCTTCTCCCTCTCCTTCTACCAGAACAGACTTACCAGTTGGACGCAGCTGCATCGACTGTCATAAAGTTGAAACCCACGTCAGAAAGTCGAAACAGGGTGTCAATTGATAAACGTCATAAGTGACGTTCTTTGCAACTTGAAATGTCGTAAGTCGAGGACTGCCTGTATGCTAATCAATATTAGTTAACAGGCGACTTGAATAAAATGGCAACTCCCTGGCTTCCATACACGGACAAAATGACCCTTTCATTCCTAACACAGGATGAGGTCATATATCTGGACATATCACCAAGTAGAGAGATGAACTCAAACAAAATTTAGCTTAAGGAGACTCTTTTATATGCCTTCTCTCCCTCTTCTTAGTGTGACAATAGATGTCAAAGAAAAAAAGTTCCTTACAGTACCATGCTTCCAATGATGTTCAACTCTGTGTGTGAATTTTAGATTGGCAGAATCTGCAGCAGGCCTGTAAAACAGGGATGGCCTGGTTTTCAAAGTTAAGTACCTGCATCTTTAACTGGAATGGTGGCCAATCAGCATTTCTGAAACTATAATGTGGATTCTTTTAAAAAACAATAATAGCAAGCCATTCATTTCTCAAATGAGTTGCAGCCTGTCTCTGGGTTCAGCTCTAAAACAATATTATTTATTTAGATTTCCAAGTCACGACCATCTGTATTAGGAAGTTACAGCAATTTTTACCAAGGGAACTAGTAAATGCACTTATGTTGTTTTTGCAAGATAATGAATCATTTAGGTCCAATTTGCACAGCTACCTCGGGAGAGCAAGAGGCGTAAGTAAAGCCTTATTGCTGGACAATTGTCATGCTTTACTGCCTTAAAAAGCAAAAAAAAGAACAGCCCCTACCACCCAAAAAAACAACCAAACAACCAAACCCACTCCTGTACAAAAAAAAAGCAAGCACAAACCTGAGCCTCCTCCTCAATGAAATTAAGCAAATCATTAAAATTTATACCAGCTGGATTTTTCTGGTTACCTATTATCAGTGGCCAGGATCATTTATGCATTATGGAATACCTGCAGCCTTCTCAACTAAACAGCTTTTGGAATTAATTTTCTAAGATTTGCATGGGGATTTAGAAGTTCAAGGAGAACTGGGTGGACTAAACCTTGCATACCAAACTCCGGTGCTCCTCAATCTGAATTCTGACTTGCACATATGCACAGGAAGGCACAGCACACACGTGCACACACTTTGTTTTCCAACATCCTCCCTCCAAGATCACCATCTTTTTCTTAACATGTTCTCTCATCTTCTCAAATCGCCTTCAGCATTTAAGGGCCAGTTTCCCCTGTTTACTCGATTTAGCGCATGCCTGACATTCTGCCCCTGTATCCTCCTCCTACGTGCCTATCTTCCTGTCCATGCCTTTAGCTTGCAACGCCTTTGGAACGCATTGCTTTGTTGAAACAACTTTCAGCACTGTAAAACATCATGTACAACTAAAGCACTATATGAGAATCAATACACTATAATATAACATGTATATAGTTTAGTATTATGTGCATGTGCATATTATATGTTTTATAATATATATAATGCACATGTGTGTATATGTATTTGTATACACACACTAATATAATATAGTATCCAGAATGATGGCATAAGTCCATGCTGCCAATAAGTGGGAAGAGTCATTTCTTGCATGGCTCCTACCGCACACCGTGAACCCACAACTTTTAGGAGCTTTTAGGATGCTAGGGGTTAGAGGAATACTACGTCTCAGCTTCTGACCTGTGTAGGAAAACAGATGCAAACTGTTTCTGGGACATGGTCAGGACAAATTAGCAAGAGCTGAATGCATCATTCACACTCTTGAGTGCAGCCTGCCAACCCTTTAACGTACCTGACAAGCAGGGTCAAGGTCCATTTTTCTTCGAAGGAATTTCTCCACGTGTCCAATTGTTGCCTCTCCTGAAACTCGCACAAACTTCTTTTCTAATGGCTGCAGAAAGAACAAGCAGCGAAACAATTTCAGAATATTGAACATTTTCAGCCAAGGTCCTTTACAGAGAATTTCTTTGGCTACATTTGAATTTCCGTTCAAAGGTCCCACACAATGGCTGGAGAGAGCTAGATTAGATTCTCTTCTGTTCTTGTCCCAAATCATTTTAGCATCACTTGGAATAAAAAGCACTATATATAAAAAGACTTCAAGGGTCCAATTCATCTCCTTTTAAAAATCAGTGTCACAACCCCAGTAATTGCACAATGAACAGAACAGTCCCATATTTTGTCTGCAGTTTCTGTGTAGTGATTAGGCAGCAAAGAGGTGCGACGTAATTTCCCAGAGCACAGAAATTAAATTGCTATCATACAATATTTTAAAGTACCCTTTTTCAGCAAACATCAGAGGTACAAAAGGAAGTTTTATAAAACTATGGTGTTTTCAGGAGCTAAGACTTTGCTGTAGTGGGATATTAAGAATATAAAATCCTCTGGAATTTCCAGCTTTTTTTTTTTTTTGCATGTCTTGTAAGATACGTTTTGGTTTTGCTGCAATAAGAAGAGCATCAGCTGAATTAATAAACATGTTGCTGCAGAGAATATAAGTGTAAGACTGGTTTGGAGGATTCTGTGACCATTTGCAAGTCCTTCCACAGCGAGGATTACAGCAATAGGATATTTACTGTCCTAGTTCTGCAGATTTTTTAAATTTGATTTTTCTTTTATGGATCAAGTGCTATACCACTGCCTGATGATTAATGCGGATACAAAGAGAAGGCAAAACAGCTGAGCAGGCTGCTGCATTCAACATAGATTTCCTTTTGTCCCTATGAATTACATTTTTACATTAACTTATGAATAGTTATGATTTACTAGCCAAATTTCAAACAGGAAGAGTAAGACAGGCACTAAAGGTCAAAGGGGGAGCGTTTAAAATTAAGGAGGGAAGAAGAGGAAATGACAGCAGGTATGTGAATGGGGCGGTAGTAACGATGCAGTAAAGAAGCTGAAAGTGATGTAGAAAAGCTGCCAGAGAAGGGATTCAAGGTGGCCACAGAGGTTCTTGATGATCAATTTTACCACCTCTACACATGCTCGGTCCAAGAATAATCCTATTGAAATCAATGGGACCATTAGTGGAGTATAGGGCTGCTCCTGTGAACACAGGCTCACAGGCCCTGACTGCAGAAGCCTAACCTTAAAACTGAGTCTCTGGTGAATGTTACTGGAGAAAAATCTTTTATCGTTTAACGTGGAGGCCATGCCATTAAAAAAAACCAAACAAAAACCCGCATCACAACTATCACTTTTAGGGTAAATGAACCAAAAAAGAATTCCCCCCCTTACCTCCTCAACCCAAACCCAACCAAACAAAGCTTTATACCCAAAAGTATTTATATCTGATAGCTTGGCAGGAAGAATTTTTCCTACTATATGAGCTGGGCTAATAAAAGATATCAAGTTTACCCGAAGAACCTTGTCTTCCAACCAAACAAAAAAACTCCCCCCCAAAACAAGTCATTTAAAAAAAATCTAAGATTATTTCTCCCTGTCTGTGGTTTGCTCTCTTTACTTGAATAAGAAAAACAGATGAACTGGTTTCTTTTTGCTTCTACTCAATCTCACTTACAGGTTCTCATGCATTTGTACAAACACGGCAGAAGGTTATTTGTTTAAAAATATACTACTGGAATTAAAGAAAAACACCTTATGGACTGTTATAATAAGCTAATCTTCTATGCAACTGAATCATGTCAAAATTGACTAATTGTCTTCGATGTTTAATATATTAAGAAACACAAACCTCACTATTCCCAAAAGGAAACGCCATGACACAAGTCAGACAGTTCTCAAGTTGTCGGTCAACTCTAAAGCTAAGGCCAGGTTAGATGTAGCTAAGAACATATATTCCAAAATTATGCAAATAATGACAACAGATATTCGCAGACAGCCATAACAAATAGCACGTTTAGCTCTGATGGGTATTTCTTTGTACCCTAAGCCTATAAGTAGGTGGCTTCCTTTGAAGCCATTATGTGCACCGCAAGGCAGCATTTGCATGGTTTAGAAACTTAATATCAGAGCAAGAGAAGATGCTGTATGGATGGCAGTTACTCTGCATGCATCTCTTCCTCAGTAAATGCTTTCCAATTCCCTTTTAATGGCATTTTTTTTTATTACTCTTTAAAATGTTTCTGTTGCAAGATGTAAATGAACATCTGATGTGGCCGCATCTTTCAATGCTCAAGAATTTAATAAAATGACTGAACTGCTTTCAGTTAAATTTGGTTTAAAAAGACAATCACTGTACTTGTGCAGTGAAACCAGGCACCTTCCTTTAAGCCCAATAATGAAGAGGATGAACAAAGAATTGGGGGGGGGGAAGGAGATCAACTGGGGGTAAAAAGAATCAATAAGAAAAGGTCAAGGAGTTGAAAAAAGAAACAATGCCAGAGACAAAACCGAGGAAGTTAAAAGAAGGACACTGAAAAAAGAAAGAATTGGTTGGAGATACTTTCAGGAAGGTGGCGTCCCTTCTACAGATTAATCTCTCACAAAAGAAATTGTGCTCTTAGTTCAATTGTGAAATCATTTAAGTGCTTTGGGAAAGGGACTGGCTTGTTTCTATGCCTGTGCTCTGCCAAGCAAAACAGCCCCATTCTCACTTGGCAGCTAATAACGGTATTATTATTGCTATTACTACTACTGATATTTAGTAGCTGCACCTGATTTACAACTATTCAGATTTGTACTTGCAAACACACAGGACAGGAATCGTCCCAGATAAAGAGAGACCCAAAGAGGAAAAGGATATAGAAACTGTAACAATTTAGATGCCTTAAATGTAAGTAGTCTAGTAAAATATAGTTCCCATCTTTAAATATTAAGGCCACAGATTTCATTGCAAATTGTAATAAGTTTCTTTTTCATAACTAGTTATCCTGTGCTGACCGTATCTTTTTATTCCCAATATTCTGCTCCAATAAAAGTTCACATGAACACAAGACTACATATTTTTAAGTTATAACTGCTTCTTGGCTCTGATTATAATCTTTATTTTTTTTAAGGTTCTTAACCAAATACTGAAACAACACTCTCAGTACCTCTCTAATTCCAGCTTTTCCAATAACAACAGCAGCAAGCAATGTCCCGTTTCATACTGAGTGCGTACTGATTCAGCACAGAAGATGCAATAATATATGACCCTATATATTGTGATGTGACTTAAGCTAAAATATGGAGCTGGATTTCTTTTTCAATTCAATAGGATATGAATGTCCTCTAGAGAGAACTTAAGGGAGAAGTGAATTAGCTGTCGGCTGGGGAAGTCCATTTAGCTGCCTAACAAATGTACATAAACATGCCTTTATGCATTTCATTTTTTCCCTGGAGTTATTAGTTACAACTCAAATCTACTGCGTGTTGGTTGACAAACATGCATATCAAATTCTGTCACTACACCACTGGGATTTTTTGAAACAGCATTTCTGAGGATAGTTACCATCTTGTAGAGAATGCCAAATGAAGACATAGACAATAATGCCATGTCTCTCAGAGAAAAGCTGAAGCTCCAATCAACTCCAGACTAGGGAAGGGAAGTTTTAATCTGGTTTCTCTTTCTCCCATACTAAAACGTTATTCACTTGTCTTTGCAATTCTAGGGCTTCCAGGGACTGGGGCCATGCATTGGGGCTGGAGGCTTCGGAGCTGGGGGCCACACGGTAAGGCTGGAGCCACATGGCAGGGCCTGATCTGTCCATAATGGGACTCAATCCGGCCACTGCAGGGCCGGGGGGTCATGTGGTGGGTCCAACCCTGAGCATCGGCTCCAGAGACTCTGTGCTGCGTCAGACCCAGCACACAGCCCTGGAGCCAGTGTGCGGACCCAGACTCAGCACAATAGGTCCAACCTGGTACGTGGCTCTGGAATCAGGGTCTGGGGTCCGGCCAAAGGACAACCCCACACACCAGCCGAATCTAGTGCAATACTAGGGAGGGTGGCTCCCCATGGGTCTGAATATGTGGGTGCGGAGGAGGGGTGGGGGCAATTAATGATGCTAGAACCCTGCCCCCAACACCAACATCCAGACCCATGCGGGGCCCTTTTCCTCGCATACAACGCGCATGCCAATTTTCCCCATCTGGTTTGGGGGAAAAGGTGCAAGATACAGATGAGAAAAATAAGGTAAATTAGGGTTAAGTTATCCACATTTTCCAGGTAAACCATAAGGGGGGAAAAAAATCAAATCAAATTAAATTTAAATTCAAATCCAAATCCATACCTTAAAATTCCCTGTGCCTTCATTAGCTCTGAAAGACAAGAAACCAGTAAACATAATCAGTATCACTAAAACGCACATTTATTAGCATGCTAAGGCTCCTACACCGATGAGCTACAGCAACAAGCCCTTTATGCATTTTTATATTTAAGCCAGCCACTTTGCAGTGGCAACGCACACAAAAGACATGTTCCATAGACACTAAAGCAAGGGTGGCCAACCTGCAGCACATAGGCCATACGCTGCATTGGCAGCAGGTGTGTGGCACAGGACAGATCAGGGAGGGGGCAAAGCAACTCAGTGGCAGGTAGGCAAGAAGCAGAAAGCAGAGCAGCAGACCAGGTAGGGGGAGAGGATCAGAGTGGAACTTGAGGGGCGCAGGGTTAATTTGTGGCACACCTGCCCAGTGAGGGCCAACCTCTTCACTGAAGCATCCAGATACAATATTAGTTTTTAACGACTGGCTTGGAACCTCATAATTAGGGGGGGGGAAAAAATGGTTACCAAAAGTTTTAAAAAAAAGCAGTCCACATATTTATATTGCACTATCACTGGTATCCAAGACCATGAGAGAGATGCCTCAGACAGCCCTCTCGATCATCACAGGATCTCTGAGCCCAAATGCTGATCTCACACAGTGTTTATACTGATCCAGGCTAGGAAAGATGAACAACGGTAGATGCCTCAGAAGAAGACGCACAAAAAAGACAGTGCCAAGTTCCTGGCTGTAGTAAATCGGAGTGACACGGGCTTCAGCCGAGTTGCACAGATTTGGTACAGAGACCTTGCTGGCTGCTGGGACA